CATTTCATAGGCATAAGATTTTCATGCATTTTGGGAATGATTTGAAATCCACTAGGTGTGCAGGCTTTAAGAAGGGAAATGGCAGCTATTTACTTGTTATTGCAATGTGACATGTGATGTTGGATGATATATTTTGATGATGTACAGTGATTATTGAATGTTTAGTGTCATCTTCATCACTTTGCCAATGCCAAGTAAGGGTGCATCAAAGATTTCATGAAATCCTTCTGAAATTCTAAAGAAACCTGAAAATGTTCAATCAAATTGGACTTAGTTTTTTTCACCCAAATTCCCTTGTGCACATGAGCACAAGCTAATTGGTTTGAAACAGGGAATAAGTGATTGTATTTTCTATATACATTGATTGAGTGATGCAAAACTTACAAATCCAATTGCCTGAAAATGATTTATTTTGTGCATGAAGACCAATTAGGGAATTTTTAGATGTAAATTTGTGACAGAATATGAGAAATTGATGATCCACTCTTATTATTAGGGAAAAATCAGGGACTTTATCACTTTAAAATCATCATATTCATTTCATAGGCATAAGATTTTCATGCATTTTGGGAATGATTTGAAATCCACTAGGTGTGCAGGCTTTAAGAAGGGAAATGGCAGCTATTTACTTGTTATCGCAATGTGACATATGATGTTGGATGATATATTTTGATGATGTACAGTGATTATTGAATGTATAGTGTCATCTTCATCACTTTGCCAATGCCAAGTAAGGGTGCATCAAAGATTTCATGAAATCCTGATGAAATTCTAAAGAAACCTGAAAATGTTCAATCAAATTGGACTTAGTTTTTTTCACCCAAATTCCCTTGTGCACATGAGCACAAGCTAATTGGTTTGAAACAGGGAATAAGTGATTGTATTTTCTATATACATTGATTGAGTGATGCAAAACTTACAAATCCAATTGCCTGAAAATGATTTATTTTGTGCATGAAGACCAATTAGGGAATTTTTAGATGTAAATTTGTGACAGAATATGAGAAATTGATGATCCACTCTTATTATTAGGGAAAAATCAGGGACTTTATAACTTTAAAATCATCATATTCATTTCATAGGCATAAGATTTTCATGCATTTTGGGAATGATTTGAAATCCACTAGGTGTGCAGGCTTTAAGAAGGGAAATGGCAGCTATTTACTTGTTATCGCAATGTGACATGTGATGTTGGATGATATATTTTGATGATGTACAGTGATTATTGAATGTTTAGTGTCATCTTCATCACTTTGCCAATGCCAAGTAAGGGTGCATCAAAGATTTCATGAAATCCTGATGAAATTCTAAAGAAACCTGAAAATGTTCAATCAAATTGGACTTAGTTTTTTTCACCCAAATTCCCTTGTGCACATGAGCACAAGCTAATTGGTTTGAAACAGGGAATAAGTGATTGTATTTTCTATATACATTGATTGAGTGATGCAAAACCTACAAATCCAATTGCCTGAAAATGATTTATTTTGTGCATGAAGACCAATTAGGGAATTTTTAGATTTAAATTTGTGACAGAATATGAGAAATTGATGATCCACTCTTATTATTAGGGAAAAATCAGGGACTTTATAACTTTAAAATCATCATATTCATTTCATAGGCATAAGATTTTCATGCATTTTGGGAATGATTTGAAATCCACTAGGTGTGCAGGCTTTAAGAAGGGAAATGGCAGCTATTTACTTGTTATCGCAATGTGACATATGATGTTGGATGATATATTTTGATGATGTACAGTGATTTTTAGATGTAAATTTGTGACAGAATATGAGAAATTGATGATCCACTCTTATTATTAGGGAAAAATCAGGGACTTTATTACTTCAAAATCATCATATTCATTCCATAGCTATAAGATTTTCATGCATTTTGGGAATGATTTGAAATCCACTTGGTGTGCATGCTTTAAATAGGGAAATGGCAGCTTATTTTATGATGTACATTGATTATTGAATGATTCTATAAATTAATTATAATAAATATTCATGTCTAGATATGAAATGTTAGAAGTACTAAAGATTTACTAAATCGATTCACTCTGCTTGTTTGTAATTGTATATTATATAATATGTTAATGCCCCTTAGCTCCCTGATATGGTAATAAATGCTATTCTATTCACATTAAGATATATATTTCTTCTTTTTGGAGCCCCCCCCCCCCCCTTCCCGAAAAGAAGAATTAGGCAAAACTTTGCTAGCTAACGTGCGGTTTCGTCGTATTTCAGAATTTCTGCACAAGTTGTAAATTGATACAGTAATTCCGCATTCCTACGCAGAAAACTTTGTTAAAAAGCAGGGCAATGTAGGTCAAAAAACCTGTTTTTCCCGACGTAGCAAAGTCTGGAATTCAGAAGTGTAAACGAGAGGCTCACTGGGGGTCTTGATGTGTCAACGTATGTAAGTTCTTTTGAGAAAAATGTGTGGGGCACAGTTGGAAGGAATTCTAATAAATAAATAGTATAAAATACAAGGTGATTTTTTTTTTAAAATAATTTAGTTTCCAAATATAAACTATAAATCATAGCATATTTTATAGATTTTATAGAATAGGGAATCCGTGTACTTTATTATCTGTGTTGTTTACCTTTATTTTCATTCTTTGAAATGTAGTGCATCCAGACATATAGCCAGTTATTCCATTTTTTGTTGGTATAATTATGCTTCAAATTATGTAAGAAAAGTCCCCCTCCCCTTAGAAATAATAAAAGACGAAATTATTGTTCATGTCTATAAATGTATGAGACCAAAATTTTCTCAAACCAAATAAATTGCAAATCAAAGATTATCGATCCTCTGAACCGTACAATCATTTAAAAGAAAAATAAACTTAAAAATCTATTCCATTTTAGAGTTTTTAAAAGTGACCTTTTCTGTTTATTAATTGCTTGTCGAGTATTTTTATCTCCCCCATTGTATTCTCTTTAGAGAAGTAGATAGTCAATAGCTTGCCTTCCATACTTCTCTAAAAGAGAAAATCTGATAAAAGATGCCACTTGTAGAAAGCTTAAAACTAACCATTCTTCCTTTCATTATTAGCATATTTCTGATACTGTAGATAGCAAATACATGTATGATACAGTGCGTAATAAGGTTGTTTGTCATCAATACTATTGAATTATCATTTTTCTTGCAAATCATATTGACATCAGTACCCCGTCCCCCTTCTTTTAAAATCAACTTTGTACAAGTTGTAATCGATAGACAAGGACGCTGCGTTCCTATGCAGACGACCATGCTGATTTAGAAAGCGTGATATTAACCAGGGTAATGCTCATGGTACATGTATGTAGGTCAAAAATCTTGCCCCCTCAGCTAGAACTAAACATGTTTAAGAAAGTTTGCATCCATGCATATTCACGTGCAGTGGTGGATCAAGAGCTAGGTGTTACGGTTGTGTTTACGAGAGAGAGAGAGAGAGAGAGAGAGAGAGAGAGAGAGAGAGTTGTGCATAACTCCTATTGATCCCGATTAAACCTGGAATAGAAATACAAGTTGCTTTTTTTTCAAAACTTTTTCCACATCGACAAAGTTCAAATAACATAAAATATGTGTGCCTTCATAATAAATCGGGTTGTAAGAGAAACAATTTCGGATTTTTTTTTTCATTTATTGCAAAAATTTATTTGATAAATCCATGTGTAAATTGAATAGCTATTATTTTTTAAAGTTAATTTGGTTAACTACTCATAAAGAAATGAAACAATTACAATCCTAAAATGTTAATGCCCATTAGGTCCCTGATTTATTCTTTTTGAGAAAATATACAACAGTATTACATTCTCTAATGAACAATCTTTTATCATTCAAAAATTTGTTCATTATAGATGTGCATCTGATGCTATGGGGGAACGATTCCTTCTCTGGTGCATAAAATGCTTTAAAGATTATTAACAAGCTTTTCTAAATGAATATGGACATTTTTCTAAAAATCCTAGTTTTAAGAAGAATCATATATTGTACATTAGGGATTTATATTAATTTTTGACACAACTAATTTTTTCCTAATAGACTATATAAATCAAATTATATATTATGAAAATTTTACAAAATGTTGCATTAAGAGAAGGTTTTCAAAGTTGTGTCTAACATTTGACTTTTTTTTTCAATAAAATATGTCCCAATGTGGAAGAAATTACCTGTAATAAATGCGTGCAAATGTAAGTATGCAATCACGGCCCCGTATATTTAGACGCAAAGTAACATACTTGTCACTAAAATCGAATAATAAGTTAAGCATTTACTATTAGATTATTTTATTTATCGCATGGCCATAGGAACCGGGGGGGGGGGTACGGGGGGATGTGCCCCCCCCCCATAATTTTGCCGATATAGAATACTATAGAAAACATAGAGCTCTACTATATACTTGTGCCCCCCTCAATAATAACGTCTGATGACCTTTTTTTTTTTTTTTTTTTTTTTTTTTTGATTGTCAAGAAATTTTGGTAGTTGATAGTGAACCCCCAACTGAAAATGTACATGTATGGTTGTGCCCCCTCAAAGTGAAATTGCTTCCTACGGGCCTGTATCGAGAAACAAATCTTAAAAACGAATTACTTCTTTTTAGTCTTCGGCTTTCATAAGTCTTTTTTTTTATTCATTTGTGTTTAACAAAATGATTTATTTAGTAAACTTTTTGTTCATTTAGACATGAATTGAAAAAAAAAAAGACATCTCCCCCCCCCCAAAAAAACCCCCCCAAAACAAAACAAAACAAAAACAAACGGTTCGCGCATATTTTTTTTCTGAAAGCCTTCGACCTTTCACAAAAAAGTACGCTGTTCCTTTTTAAGACTCATTTTTCCTCCATTTCAATTAATGATTTAGTAGTATCTTTAAAAACAAATCAAGCGTAAAGATAAAATTAATTGTTTTCTGATATTTCCCCCCTTCCCGCGTTCTTCGTTCTATTCAGCATTTTATGCATGTAAGAATCGGGATCGGAGTTTGAATTTGATACAATGAGGCTGTGCATGTGCATGTGCTTCCATAATGATGGAGGTTCGTCAAAATTGTTCGTGTTTTTCCTATCGTTAGTAAAAGAATTCAAGTGTATTAGATCTATTCATGAATAATGACTTTGTGATGCCTGGTATCGTCTCGGCTGATGGATACATATAGAATCTGCCGTACTACTAGTAGACCTACACTGAGTATGACCTTGGGAATTAGAATTGACTGTCGACTTCGGATGAAGGTAAGCAAGTGCAGATAATGAACAGTCTGGCTTAATTATAACAACAACTTTATTTCAATTTCTGATAAACAGCTGAATGAGCTGGTCAATGTATATTAGGACCTGATGGTGAAATATTGACCAGCTTTGTTGACCTAACCAATGGTAAGGCTAAACAAAAAAATATGTCCGATTACTGTTACATGCTGAAATAAAAAAGGGTTGGTTTTGTAGGTTTGATTTTTAATTTTTTTTATTGATTTTTTTTAATACACAAATTCACATGAATTGGTTGAAATACAAAACAGTTTTACCATTGTGTGGTGCTTTTTTGTTTCTAGTACTTTCAATTTTGATTTCAAATGCTTGACTGATTAAGTTGCATGTAAAAGTTAAACTGACCGGCGAGTGACTTCCGTTGAAAAAAAAAATCTGGGTTGGCAATTAAATATAGGGTCAGTCAGGTAACTGTAAACAAACTTATTTTTTTTTTTACGCCTAACTATGAAACATGATTTTTAAATTAAAACAGGTCCAGCACAATCTCTTGATTTAGCTATCTAGCTTGATAAAGCTATTCAGAATAGCTTGATTCAGCTATTTCATCACACTTTTTCTTTAATGTGTTATTTTCTCAGCATGCACAAAAAGTCGCAACTTGGTGCAGTGATAATATTCAACCTTGAACTCTTCTGAAAATAATGAATGTAAAAATCACTCATCCAAATATGTCTCTCTAAGGATACACCAAAGGCTTTTTTTCAAGATTTATTTTCAACAATTTTGAGATTTTTGGCTAAGAAAAAGATTAGTTAAACACTGCTTTATAATGCATGTAAAATTCTTGGTAATTATGAAATGGTTTTGTAATAGGGCTGTCAACATTACCCGAAATAACCGAGAACCACGGTCCAAGTTGTTCGGTTCGGTTTTGGTTCCATTTTTCCGGATTTCAGTTAGGGTCTAGTTTATATATTAGAGTCTGTTCAATACAAAAAATGGTGTCGAAAACTCGAAATCAAAGGAATGATGACGATAACGGTGATAAAAAAAACATCACAACTGAAATCTCTTCATTCCATGACAAAACACCTGTCACGGAAGTATTAGATAATTATCAAAACGAGCAGGAGTGGTCAGGTTGTGGCTAATAGTAGGCCAAGTAGTTCTACACACCGATGTCTAGACGTTCACATGGTTAAGACTTGTTTTCAATGTAAATTAAATGTAACAAATAAAGATTTTTCAAGTAAAATTCATGAAATTAAGGTTTAAAATAGATGTAAATAACCGAACCGTAAAACCCGAAACCAAACCCAAAATTTACAGAACAGACCCGACCCGAAAAATTTTGGAACCGTGACAGCCCATAATTTTCTAATTATTTAACAATAATGAAACACTGTAGCAACCTCTAATGATAAAGCGCCGCTTAATAATACAAATATCAATCATTAAGCTTAATGCCGTAAATTTTTGCATTAATAGTTGACATTCTCAACCGCTGATGCTAAATCGCCGCTTAATGATAGAATTATATCATTAAGCGTCACAAATGCAGAGCAACACTGACGCTTAATGAAACAAGAAAATATCCATTTAATCGACGGTTAATGATACACACTAGCATAGCATTAAGTGTTGCAGACGCACCCTTTAATGATATAAAATTTAGAAATGGCTGCCAATAACTAAGAGAAACATACATCCACCTTTCCTTCCATCACTTGCATTTAAACATTTGTGTATACCCTTGTGTTATAGAATATAGTAATTATTGGAGTTTTTCCATGTTTTCTAGTCAAGGGAACTTCTTAAAGCTCCGGATATCCAAATATTCATCTAGTATGCAGGGTCCTAAATTAAGTGTTTCCACACAAGATTTGTATATTGATATCGGAAAAAAAAATATAAATTAAATAAATGCCATTGCAATAAGAACTCTTACTCGTGCTTATTTTTGCAAACTAGACAGCACACACTGACAAAAAGAAATATTCACACACTTCTGTGTTTCTTTTGTGGTACTTTATAAATTATTGAATCAGATGAGCTAGCGACCAAGGAGAATTTAGGACACGCTAATAATGTACAGTGTAGCAATTGCCGAAAATAGCACGCCTTATATACCGAAAGTCCAAGCATATCAGAGAATTGTACTATAATGAATTTGAAATAAACTTGAAATAATTATTTCTTGTATAATTCAAACGTGGTTAATTCGTTACACAGCATACTTGCCAACCTCCAACATGTAAAAATCTGGTTCATGACCAGATTTGGAAAGTAAAAAATCTGGTCATAACGTGTAACGACGTTCACGACATATTTACCTTGATTAAATTATATATAAGTATTTGTGTATTGAGAATTCTGTTATTAAAAAAGGCTTTAACTTACAATGACAAAAAATTAATATATATTGATTAAATTTACATGTTAAAAAAGAGCATTGAAGGTTTCATTATTCAGTATTGACCTGAATTAAAAGTGCATTTTCTTTTTTAAAAAGAAAGCCTTTTCAGTTTGTGCTAAATTTGAAAGTATTTCAATTTTGGTTTTGGAAATTATTTTTCCTCTCTCTTAGTTAATTTAATTAACAAGTGCAATATGTATTAAATGTACAGTTAGGCCTACACTCTCTTCGATCAATTTATTTTATCTAATGAAAGTTGTTTTCCAAGATTCCTTGATATGCATTGTTTCTCTTTTTCTCGGTTCAATCAGAGACCTATAGTATGTAGGTCCCTGGTTCAATTTGTTCCTGTTGGCCCTGATAACGATCTAGTTCTATTGGAAGCCATTTTAAATTGACTTCAAACTTTGATTTGTCAAAACAACTCCCAGGTAATTGTTTACACCTGCACTGATAATTTACTGGTACACAGCCTACTGGACATAGCCATCGGCATTGTTTACGTAGATCCAAGCTTGGGTTGTAACTGGAAGTTAAAAGTGCAACCTAATTTACGAACCAAATCAGGAAATCAGGAGATTTTCGAGTTGTTCGGCAAAAATCGGGTGAAAAGCATGACCCGCCGTGTCATAAAAAATAATCGGGTTAAGGGTCGAAAAATCGGGTGTAACCCGACGAAATCGGGTGAGTTGGCAACTATGTTACACAGGCCCCTAACAACGGTTTCAAAAGTGTGTGTGGGGGGAAGGGGGGGGCAACTTCCTAAAAGGGTCGGTTGTATTTTTTCAGATTAATTCAGAAGAATTAGTCATTGACTGGCTTATAAGTCAGTAATATTTTGCTAAAATCTGTAGACAATTTCAGATGAAAAATCTTTGTATTTACCAGCATTTCTAAGTACATGTATATTTTGGGGCAAGACAGATGAGTTTACTAACAATTTTAACAAGTACAAGATCATTTAATTCTCTAAATACTAGTGCTATAATTATGATTGTGGTAATCTTAGATCTTCATTTTCTGCATTAGAATTGTTCCAATCTATATAATGAGTTACTATATTTCTTCTAGAAGAAAATTCATAAGTCGGACCTAGACTTTTGTTCAAAATTAAATTTCTTAGCACATGTATTTAAATATCAGTATTTGTTGTAGTTCCAGAACTGTAGCGTTGTGTGGTTAACCGTTTATATTTTAGTCTTTGACCATGATGCTACAGATCCCGTTATAAAAATATGATTGGTCAATCAACTTTTATTCCCTTATTCTAGACACTATTTAACCAATCTGTATATTTTATCCACCTCCCAACCCTGTATAGTTGTCTCTACAGACCAGTAAACTGGTTTTTTAAAAAAAAATTGCCATCCGACAAAAAAGACATACATCATGCAAATTTAAAGCATGATAACATTGGAAGAGAGTGTGATTGTTCGATAGTTTTCTGAAAGACGTCAATTTCCATTCCAATTTTATAACATTAATGAAGACATTAAAATAAGGAGGGTTTTTTTTTTTTTTTTGCATATGTATACAAAACAAATGTTGGGAAATCCTTCTTTTTAAATTGATTTAATTGAGATATTTGATGAAATATGAAGATAACGAACAGTATTCAATCTGGAAAGTCCAATGAAACGATACAAACAAGCAGAGCAAACAAGGACCCCAAAACTCAGAAGTGGGATCAGGTGCCATGGAGGAATGAGCATCCCCTGCCAACCGGTCACACTCGCCGTGTGCTCCTTGTCATGATTGGGTAGTAATGGAGAAATCCTTAGACAGTTCAGTGTATACATGTAAATAATGGCCTAACAATTAGTATGAAAAGCGTCAGTCAGCATTTGACTCAATGATAGGTTGTAGGTGCTGACAAGGTCATTGTATCGACTGTAAAACTTGTGAAAAGATGACTTCAAATGAGACTGTTGATATCCTTGTTTCATCAACTTGTTTGTCAATAGCTTGCCTCGTTTTAGAAATTGTTCATATGTAGAGCATGCTCTTGCATATCGAATCAACTGAGAGACATAAACCCCATATGCAGATGATAAGGGTATATTGCTGCATAAGTAAGGGAAATTGAGGATTGAAATGTTGAAGTCATCACGTTTGTCATAAAGCTTTGTTGCTAGGTTACCATTAACATCTTTTTCTAGTAAAATATCTAAATATGAAACAGATATGTCAGAATCTGTGGTATCTTTTTTAGGTCACCTGAATCACTCAGGTGACCTATTGCTATCCGTTTTCGTCCGTCATCATGCGTCGTGTGAATTGCGTTAATATTTGAACATTTTTAGCTTCTTCTTTGAAACATCAGGGGTTCTGGTGCTAGGGCAGGGCTATATAGATCATATAGTGAAAGTGCATTATTTCTTTGAAAATCTTCTTCTCTGCTCCTGGGTATTAAATAAAGTAAGTAAGTACATAGTTATGATGAGCAAGAGTGTCTCTTCCAAAATTGTGAATTTCATGGCCCCCGGGTCAGGGGTTCAGGTGTTAGGGCGGGGCTCTATTGATTATATAGTGAAAATGTATTAAATCTTTGAAAATTTTACTTCTCTGCTCCTGGATATTAAATAAAGTAACTAAGTACATAGTT